GCCATGGTTCTCAGATGTGAAGCCCAAACCTCTTTATAAGTCACCTGATGATAAGGCATACTGGGATGTACCAGTATATGCTGATCATACATACGTACAATCTAATCGTGTGGATGCACGTTTCATCGACCACAAAAACAAGAAGGTACTCATGGTGGAAATGAGCTGTCCTTGGATCAACAACAGAGACAAGAAAGACAAAGAAAAGACCAAGAAGTATGGAGCACTTAGACTTGAGCTAACAAAACAACACCCAGGATACAAGATCTCACAAGTAAACGTCATTATAGATGTACTTGGATGATGGTCTAAAGCTATGGAAACTGAAACGAAGGCTTCTCTGGTACAAGATACAAAGAAATATTGCTGAGAATGCAGAAAGCTGTATTAAGTAGCACTCTGAACATTGCAAGAACATTTAAACTGGTTACATCGTAAGAATTTTAAGGACATTATGATTTGGTTTTTATGAACAGTATTTTATGAACATTTTAGGTTAAGGAAATTTTAAGAACCGAACAATAAATCATGAACATTTAAAAAAAGAACATCTTAGTATTGGGCCAATTGACACTTTTATCGTTTTATATTGATCATTTATATTTAAGTAGTATTAGATATTATTATAGTTAACAGTCCTGTCATGCAGATAGGCTACGAATTTTCGCCCTATCTTGCTTAGCTCACTAGCATCCAAACGTGTATACTGCATAATAAATAATATAATAATAATAATAATGATTATCTTATAAAGCGCTGTTTCTACACTGAACCAACAGCACTTTACAACAGTGAATGATGTAACATTAGAAGAAAGCCTAAAAAACAGTTAATGATTCTTACAATTCAAAATAATTTCTAAAAAGATACGTCATAAGGGTAGATTTAAAAGATTCTGTTGACTTGCAACGTTTTATACTTAACGAGAGGAATATAAATATAGAGGCAAGACCGATACAACGTAGATAAGTTTTAAGACAGAGCATTATATTTCGGCTGGCCAAACCAGCCTTCTTCAGGTGCAATGGGAATTGACATAGAATAAGGTGGTACTTAGGTAGCTGTATAATGTAATAGCGGAAATACGTAAAACTAATTTGATTGACAATGAGATAATTAAAAATAGAAATAGAAGTAAAGTAAGGTAAATTGAATAAATTAAATAACTAGAAATAAGAATAGTAGAAGGAAAACACTAAGACATTTCTTCGCAAGCGTTAAGGCCATTGGGATGAATAGTATTGCCTCTTCAAAATAAAAAGGCTTCCCTGGCCTGAAGAAGGCTGGTTTGGCGAGCCGAAATATAGTGCTCCGTCTTAAAACTTATCTACGTTGTATCGGTCTTGCCTCTATATTTATATTCGTTATTTTGGGCCGATTAGATCACTGTTGATCCAACGCACAAGAGTAGGATTATCGTCCACTTTTGCTTGCTGAACATTTCACAGTTAACGAGAGGGTATTCCACAGTTTTGGCCAATGAAGGAAAATTAAAAGCTCGCTCCCCATATGTTTTAAGTTGGCAGCAGGGCTGGCGCGGGGCTCCTCCCAATACACTCTTGGAGGGTGTAGCACTATGAAATTCTGATCCGAGTTGAGAGCACACGCGGCGATGAACATAGAGAGGGATACCAGCGCAAGTCATTATTTCTTGAAACAACTGCAAACACAGTAAGATCAAAAGAATTTGCTTGCTGGCAGTCTGGGAATGAGGCTAGTTCCCAGTCGACCAATTCCTACAACTTACTTTCAGTTCCCTATCAGTTGCAAGACACCATAAAAACTCCACGAGGATGAGTTGCCGTTCCATGATTCTGGTCACGGACTAGCAGCTACTCTAATCTTAATCTATGTGGTAGGAAAAAAACATCTTAAATATTCTATCAGGTAGTTTGTTTCTCAGAGGGAAAACTTGAATCCAGTAAAGGAAATCTTAACTCGTTAATAATAAAAAGAAAACAACAATCAATCTATCGTTTAAAAAATATATATATTGCTCACGCTAATACACTGCAGATAGATACGTTTGTATTTGGATACTTTCATTATAAAATTTAATGGTTAAATTGATAATCAAATTAATTATGATTCTTGTCATCATCATAATCATTATCATCACTAGCCTCATTAGCATTATAATTAGCATAAGCATTGCTATTTTCAATTATTGATGTTATTTATTTAGTCGGTTCCTTCATATGGAACAATAACGACGTTTAATTGTTTAGGAAATTCGAGGTCAAGGTGCTATACCGGGAGCAGACAGGTCAGGTTCGGAAGGTTTTTTCTTTTTCTTGGGATTACATAACAATTTTATCATCAAATGGGTGTGGGATAGGATTATTTACAATAATGCTAGATAAAACTCGAGTAAGCTCAAAGAGACTGAAACGAGTTAATCTCTCTAATAGGCTTAGGTAATGCTCTCGAATATTGGATTATATTTGAAAAATCAAAAAATTTCATGCTACTGTTTTTCTAGTGCCCTCCAGCTTACCCTGAGGGAAAAATTCGGGTATTGGATAAAAGTAAAATTTGATTTAACGCTCCTTGCCTTTTTAATTAATTTAATTTCATGAAATTTTTTTCCTTTTGTTTCGCTTATATCGTATTTCAAAGGTCGGTAAATGTTATCATATTATCATCATTTTTTTTTTATTGCTTTGTAAACAAATTGTATTCAATATGGTTTTCCGAATAAAGAGCAAAGGGTCAAATACGCGCTTTAAATAAATCAGTGTAA